ATATATATAAAATAGTTTAGTTATTTTTTTAAGATTTCTTATTTAAAGCCACATTTTTGTTTGTCTCTGAAAGTAAACAACAACAAGTTGGACAATTGAGAGGAAGGTCATCTGTGTGTAAAATGTCAAGGGACTGGGGCTGATTTGTTTTTTTCTTACCTTCATTACAATGCTTAATTAGAAAGGGATAGAGTGATGGAAGAATAGTGTCAAAACAAGGTCAGCCTCGGGAGGCTGCTAATGATGAGCCACAAATGATGCTATCATGGGAGGTTCGTCGATGGCAAACAAGCAAATTCTCTGGACAACACCGGCAAAAGTGTCACCTTTAGTTTGCCCCCTGCAAATCGCAGGAAGTCGGTTTTATTTATATGATGCCAATTCACAACAGAAGAAAATCTCAAGGCTTTTTACTTTTATGGCAATCAAAGGAGCCACCGTTAGCACCTGCGCTCCACCCACCCATGAATTCTCACAAATAATGTTATCGCTAATAAACACACGGTCGAAAACATGACATCTTTGCAGAGATGTTGCTTAACAATGCCCTCCATGTGGATGCCATAATTGGATCGCCCACGAAGGAGGAGTAATTCACATTCACAGTCGATGACGGAGCTGGTTTTCTTTTAAATGTGTATCAATATCTGTATTGTGAATTACTGTCATCTCCTGCCACTATTTTTGTTTTTTTCAAGATAGTTTCAGAATTTCTGACTTCAATGATACGGTCGTCATCTGCATTCATTTGGCAAAAGATGTAGAGGTGTTAATTTATCGCGTTAATTGCAATTAATTAATTCCAGTCGCATTGAGTTGTTTTTTTTTTAATCGTGTTAATCTAAATTTAAATTTTTGCCTTTATTGTTTCTGAAGGTGGGTTGCCTTTTTCTCATAATCCTTGATATTTTTGATAATGTCTTGATATTTTTTCTTTGTCTTTCATTTTTTTTTTCAATCAACAAATCAATCAAATACATAAAAACTGCATGTTGCACATGTCGCACATTTGACGATAAAGTTGACTTGAACTTGAACTTGAAATAACCCAAGTAAGCATAAAATTGAGTTTTTAAATGGTGATTTTTATTTGTTAAGGGAAAAAAAAAAACGATTCAATGCTTCCTGGACCAGTGTAAAAAAGTACAATCATTTTTTATGCCGGAGATATTATGAACCATTCTTCTTCTTTGCACAATTGCTGTCAATCAGCAACACTGCATTTTAAGGCTATAACATTCTTGGAGCAACGGATAGCTGGGTAGATAACGAGACAGAATTTGTTTTCATCCTGTGAAGGAAAATAAATAGTACAGTATAATAAAAGAGTAACAACACTTCCTGAATGGGATTTTTTTTTTTTTTTAAATCATGAGTAGAACACATTACAATCCATTGTGCACTGAACACATATCAATACAAACACCAAACAACAATGTCATGTTAATAATCCAGAAAACCTTTGACATTATGAAATAAGTGTGACCGGTGAAATGCCAAATGTAATTTATTCGACAAATTAAATCCTGGCTTCATTTATTTTTTTTTTGACACGTTGAATTTCGAAATCCATTTATTTGATGTGGTGACGGAACAACTTCTTGATGTGTTTCCAGATTTCTTTCATCTTCACTCCATATATGATTGGATTGAGGAGAGGATTGTACACCACTATTTGCAACATCATGATCAGGCGAACCGTCTTCGGAAGCTCTGACCCCGCTTGGTCCACAATGACGTCGAACGCAGCCAAGCAAGAGAAGCAGATTAAAACCATCAGGTGAGGTAAACAGGTCTCGGCCGCCTTTTCCCAGGCTCCGCCGCAACGGCAATATGCCACGATAAATATTTTAACGTATGTGAAGAGGATGAACAAGACAGGGAGAATCACAATGCTGATGAAGACAAACACACCGTAAACGACCGTCGTTTCTGATCTCACGCACTGAAGCTTATTCACAGTGTTGTTACAGAAAATGCCCCCTGAAACAAACCTGCACAATTTTTGCTTTCCATTAATGTAAGTTCCCACAGCAACCTGGCAGCCGGGCAGAAACCAGGCCAAAGCCAAGAAGATGGTGACATTGGTTGTGCGCATGGTGGTTGCATATTGCAGAGGCTTGCAGATGGACACATACCTGTCGTAAGCCATGGCTGACAACAGAAAGAAGTCTGAAGCACCTAAAGCGTAGAAAAGGAACAACTGCAACATACAAGCGGAGTGTTGTAGAAAAAGAACAACTGCAGCAGACAAGCGGAGTGTGAAATGCTCTGCCGTTGAGACAAGACATCCACAATGAGTTTGGGGTAGATGGTGGTGCTGAACAAAAGCGAGTTGAGAGACAAAGCCGCGATGAAAATATACATGGGCTCGTGAAGGTTCCTGTGAATCCAGATGAGACAAATAATGGTGCCATTCGAGCATAGGATGAGAACGTAGAGCGTCAAAAAGAACACAAAGTAAACATATCGGTACTTATCCACATCGATATAGCCGCCAAGGCTTATTAGGACGTGAGTTCCGTTCATCGTGTTCCATTCATGTGCACACTGCACACCGGCGGTCAAGAATCGCAGTGTCAAGTCTTTTATGATGGTTGCTGAGCCTCCACGGATCTCATTAAGAGCCGCTGTCATGTCAACAAATTCCCCTAAGTCCTTTTGGCCTCCGTGTTTTTTGTGGGCCTGACCTGTCCACCACATGTGACAGGGTTAAACATTCGTTGGACGTGATTATGCCGAAGAGATGATGAGTCCAGAACATGATTTGACCCCAGTTTTTTCTCAGGTTCTTCCATTGTCATCAGTTCATATCACAACTTGTATGATCAAGTTGCACCATGAAGTCCAGGATACAGATGCTTTGTGTGTGTGACCTTTTGTGAACTTGAGATTGTACTGGAACATTTGATCTGTTACGTGATCCAGATTGACAGGTTGTATGCTTAAAGTAGAGCAGGAGAAACGTATCCGTGCTTTTCATCTCCAGCAGACTTGATTATTGTAACGCTCTTTGTATTGGTATCCTTCAAAAGAGCATCAAACAGCTGCAGCGCATTCAGAATGCCACATCTTGCTTTGTGATCAGATGAAAGAGATTACAAAGAGAGTACTCCAGTCTTGAAGTCTTGACACTGACTCCCGATCCACTGTAGGATAGATTTTAACATTCTGCTATTCGTCTATAAATCACTAAATGGTTTGGGTCCTGAAAAACAGAGGTGGTCATTTTAAAAAAAAATTTGCTGGTCCGTCATTCTTCATCTGTCAGCGGCCAGGATGCTCGGCCGTCATTCATCAGTCCGGCATTTTTCGTGACGAACAGAATTGTAATCGTCAGGCCGTCACTTAAGTCTGTCAGAAGTCCGTCGGTATGTCCGTTTTTTTTTTTTTTTTTAATTACTTCACATTTGGTCTTTAAGAGAGCCAAGACAGCAGTGTGGCACAGAACAGTCGCGAGTGGCACCAACGCTGGAAAATAAAGAAACGTAATTCATCCGAATGTTGAAAGCAAAATTTGCATTGTAACATTAAAATTTTGTAGCAGGGAAAAGGATAACGAGCTTACAGCAAGCGACCGGAAGAAGCATGAAACCCACCTGCGCAATTAACGGCCGGTAGAGGGGAAAAAAAAAAAAACATTCCCCTCCCCATACAAAAGTGAGACTTATACTTCGGATCCACTTTTACTCTAAAAACTACAGTGCTTGGTGATTTTCTTTCTCTTTTTTTTTTAAATTCATTCAAATTTGGCAGGCTTGTCACCCGTACTCTTCTCTGTGGCGTGTCAAATTTACAAGACATTTTTTTCCCACTTTACTGAGTCTTTAACGAGATAATTGAATGAAAAAGAAAAATAAGTGAGTACATTTTAACAAACCGATTTTCGTAGCAAAAACGACGAAAAATAATGAAACAAAAAAATACAACAATCTTGCTGATGTAAATAATTGGTGGTCTTGATTAAAGAATGGAGGGGGGCCATAGGTGGTCCACGGGCCACATTTTGACCAATCGCGTATGAGACACTGCTTGATGCTGCTAAACACCACCAGTCTCTTTCAGACTCTGTACTCAAGTGTGCAGATTGCTCCAGACATGTTTTACTAGTTCAAGTTGCTTGCGACAGGTTTACTGTTGATCAACCAGTCAGACAACATTATTGCGGGTTAACCAGCTACAAGGGCAAATTTGAAATTTGATTGGGTGAAAGAAACTGCGTCATAGCTAAAATAGTTGAAGTTCCTCTACATGGGCCAGCTGATTGCAAAGGCTTAAGGCCTTGGTTGGGTAGCCGCATCCGATGAGACGATTTAACAATTTCATGGAACCAAAAGGAGAATTGAGGTGGTAAAGGGCTGCTAATCAGTGACCCTTGCCTCGTAGTGCGTCGGCAAGCAGAGAAGGCCTCAGCGGCTGTGATGGCTTACCACTGCTGCTGCTAAGGGGCCAAGGGTTAAGAGCATGACGATTGTTATTCGCAGCATGCCTCAGGTGATTCTTTGGTGGCATCGTCCAGAGATTTGACTTGTTTGTCAGAAACAACCTCCCAAGAGCATGACAGTGACCACTGGATCATAATTAGCACCCCCCCCTGAGGCTGACCTTGTTATGACATGATCCTTACATCACTCTTTCCCTTCTAATTAACCCGTTGGCCTCTATGGGGGGGGGGGGGATTTGTGTCCACCCTGCTTCCCTTCTTTCAACCATTTTAGCTGCGTCAATGCAAATGTAATAAAACTTTCCAAAGGTGGGGATTCTTGTCTAATTTTGTTACTTCCCGTTTCGGCTATTTAAAATATACAGTACCGTATTACATAACGAGGGAATTTGCAAACTTGACAGCAAACTCCTTCCAAAGCTGAACATGCCTCTGTATGTCTGTACGCACATATTGTGACTTTTAGAAAAGCTCTGACCCATCAACAACTCATAGCGGGCTGTCGTCTATCAACCAATCAAACTTTTGACACATAAAAATGCAACTCAAAGTGCTGTACAATTAAAACTTTAAAATTACAACATACAGAGATACATATCCCCAAAAGCATGCCTATGCTTGCTCGCACACACACACACACACACACACACACACACACAAAAAAAAATATATATATATATAATGTAAACGATTATTTTCTCTAACGTCTATATATATATATATATATATATATATGAACTACACTAAAATAGACATAGCAAGGCACAGAGAAGCTATATGAGGAAAAGAGCACCCGAGGAAAGCTAATCCACACTGGCATGTGTGCTAAACTGGTTTGTCCTACCTAGATTCAGAGTTTGGCAGATAGTCAAAAGTTCTTCAAAACCAGATACTGTCCAGCCAAACACAAAATAGCGAGAGTGAAACACGTCGTATAACAGACCCAAACACATGCTTTGTCTCACAAACTCATAGGCGCATTGCTGCGAGCTTCATGTTTCGATAGAATACAAAGCATCGCAGGTGGGCTAACAAACATCATCGATGTTGCCGTGTCAACCTTGAAATACATATTGAAATGCAAACGGGGAAGGAAAATGGAAAGGAAGAAAAATCCAGAAGGAGGATATAGCCTCCAATACAATATTCACAGGCATATATCTTCTTCCTTGAGGAAAAATGACTTCTCGCTGCAGTTTTGCTGCGACATTCTGCTTTGTGTTTGTTTCCAATTAAATCCACACGTTTGATCGGCAGGAGGGCCAAGGTGCTCACGTCAAAGGCACAGAACACAAACTCAACTTTATTCTGAGAGTAAAAACACACACAGCTGTAACGAAGTGCTGTACTTCATAAAGATATCAATAAATTAATAGTCATTATATACAAAGTAATAATTTGAGGCCGTGACCAATCAAAGATTTATGTGGTAAAAGAAGCAAACAAAACAAAGAGTCATAAAAATTACAAAAGTCCGTATGATAATAATGTCCACAAACAAGCTGAAAGGAGAGCAAAATCCAACAAGGTCTGAGGAAGACATGCAGTTTGTTTCGCCTCAACGTACCGAATGTGAACCAAACTGTGACCTAAATGAGGGCGTGTAGCGAATTATGAATTTTTGGGGCACCATTACACCCCAGAGCGATGATACAAGTTTCAGCGTGATAACTGGCCCACGAAGGACCACCGTGACTTCCTGTGATGAAAACAAGTTTGACAGCCGCTCTTGTTCAACTGACCATGCCGCATGTGACAGACAGGTGATGCCACACAATCCCTCGAAGAAAGTGGAAAAAGCCTTGGAGCAGTTTGTTGACATGACAGCGACTCTTAATTAATGAGATCCATAGAGGCTGAGCAGCCATCATAAAAGACGTGATGCTCCGGCAACTGTTGACCGCCAGTGTGCAGTGCGCACGTGAATGGGGCACGATGAACGGAACACACATCTTGATAAGTCTTGGCGGCTATGTCGACGTGGATAAGTACAGATATGTTTACTTTGTACTCTTGTTGATGCTCTACGTTCTCATCCTCTGCTGTAATTGCACCATTATTTGTCTCATCTGGATTCACAGGAACCTTCACGAGCCCATGTATATTTTCATCGCGGCTTTGTCTCTTAACTCGCTTTTGTTCAGCACGGCTATCTACCCCAAACTGATTTTGGACGTCTTGTCTCACAGGCAGAGCGTTTCTCACTCCGCTTGTATGTTGCAGTATTTAATATTTTATTCACTAGCAGGTTCGGACTTCTTGCTTTTGTCGGCCATGGCTTTTGACAGGTATGTGTCCATCTGCAGGCCTCTGCATTATGCAGCCACCATGAGCACAACCAGTGTCGCCATCTTCTTGGCTGTGGCCTGGTTTCTACCTGCCTGCCACGTATTGGTGGCAACTGTCATCAGTGCAAAGCAAAAAATGTGCCGCTTTGTATTAGCGGGAATCTTTTGCAACAATTCTATCCAGAAACTTCACTGTGTGAAACCGATGTTTCTCACAGTGTGGGGTTTGTTTGTTCTCACAAATATTACTCTCATCCCTGTGCTGTTTATTCTCTTCACGTACATAAAGATATTCCTGGCGACCTATCACAGCTGCGGGGAAGTCCGGAAAAAAGCAGCAGAGACGTGTTTACCCCACCTGATGGTTTTAATCAGCTTCTCGTGTTTGTGTGGTTTTGACGTCATCATCGCACGACTGGAGTCGGATCTTTCAAAAACTGTGCGGCTTATTATGAGTCTTCAAATCGTGGTGTACAATCCTTTGTTCAATCCGATCATATATGGGGTGAAGATGAAAGAAATCTGGAAACACATCAGGCGATTGTTATTGTGCAGAACGCATCCAAGAAGTCAAATGTCTTTGTCAAAGTAGTCTTTTTTGCTGTTTGTTTCAATCTGTGAAACTGTGCTGATCCGACGTGTGTTGTTTACTGTTTTTGTCGAAAGGTTCAGAATAAATTGAATTGAGGATCATTCACTTGACACTATGATTTTATTTGTCATTTATGAAATTTCTTTTGTCCCCACAGGAAAGGAAAGTAAAATGTGGTTTATTTATATAAACTTTATTTATCCCTGTGGGACATTTCGCAGCGGAGGGCAACACAATTATTTCCATGAATTAGCAACCACTGGTTGCTCATTTTGTTTTTTTGTAGCATTTCATTAATTTCAATGATTCCATGAAGGATGGAGTTTATTACAAAGTGAAATTCTTTAAACACAATCTGGAATGTGTAACTCAAATCCATGAAGTCCAATAATTCAAATCCATCTTCACCTTTCGGTGCAAAGAGGAAGGTTTTCATCAGATGATGATGCTTATTTTTCCATACAAAATTAGTAAATACCTTATTAATGTCTGCCTGCAGAATCACTCACATCAAGGGGGAGAGATGGGAACACAATTCTGTACTGCAAAAGACTCTTCACAAAATTGATAAATGTCATTGAATCCATGTATGCTGTACTGTTATTATTATATTATTAATGTTGTTAATTTTGTTTTAATATTGGTATACTGTATTCTGTAATCTGGGGGAGAAGCTCGGTTATTGGCGCTCCTTAATGTTCAAACAAACACGGAGATATCAAACACACTTCTGAAGAGATTTGGCTTTTTTTCTTTTTTTTTTTTTCAAGGATTTTATTTGCACTAAACAACAAACAATATACCAGTATTATATATTAATATTCAAATTTAACAATGCAGTATACAGTAATATCAGTAAATCGATTGACTTAGTTACATCTGTTTGTTTTGTTACTGAGTTACATCTGTGATTTCACCATCAAACAAATGTATCTCAAAATAAAATACATTAACTGTGAAAAGAAAATTCGGGAGACAGGAAAGAAGGTGCTCGGTGTGGCCTCAGGACAGAGAAAGGTGGACAAAGAGACTTGGTGGTGGAATGTTGAGGTTCAGGAAAGTGTACAGAGGAAGAAATTAGCGAAGAAGCGATGGGATAGTGAGAGAACAGAAGAGAACAGGCTGGAGTACAAGAAGATGACAAGGTAAGTGAATAGAGAAGTGGCCAAGGCCAAACAAAAGGCATATGAGGAGTTATACGAGAGGTTAGACACAAAGGAAGGTGAAAAAGAATTGTACAGGTTGGCGAGACAGAGAAATCAGGCTGGGAAGGATGTACAGCAGGTGAGGTTGATTAAAGACAGAGAGGGAAATGTCATTTAAAACATATTTTGATATTTTTCAACAAAGCTTTTATTGGGGAAAAAAGTATTCAAGAGTTCCAACAGCTTACTGCTTTTTTTTGGGTTGTAAGATATGCCTTTCCGGAGAAGACCCGATACGAAAACGGTGACGTCACGACTGTACGTACCACTGGATGACACCAAGGGGGAAGTAATGACAATACGCTGATTAAATAGCTCGCGTTTCGTTCCTTAATTCAAATGATTCAGCACAACACATTTGAAATTGTATTACAGAAACCTAAAGGGACTCAAGATGTCTTGATAAGTAGCGAACAAAAAGCTAGTAAAGACTCAACTGTAATTACATCCACCCCCTCGTGAGGAAAGCCCGGATGTTCGGAGAGAGGCGCCTTTTCTGAGCACTTGTCATAAAACAGTAACACATCATCCCTTGATTGAATTTGCTTCGTTGTTGTTGAGTGATAATTGGAAAAAAAAAAGCACACAGTGTGACAACTGCAAATCATTTGTATACAGTGTCCCACGTTTCACCATGGCCTCAAAAAAGAAGCGAACGCCGAACGTGCAGAACGATAGCTGGGTTGTTATTGCTGCAGGTAACCACTGTCTTCACTAGGCCCGGCGAAGCTAGCTTAACACACGGTGCCTTTCGTAGCGTAAACTACTTGACGGTTTGTTCGGTTGCTAGCACGCTAGCGCACCACGGAGGCGTCGCTGCTTTCAAAGATTTCCGAGACTTGTCGAGCACTTATCCTTTTTTAGTTTGTCTTAGTACGATGTTTGCATGAAGCGTTTAACTGTCACCTACCGCTGCTTTCAAATATTTCCGAGACTTGTCGAGCATTTATCCTTTTTTAGTTTGGCTTCGTACGATGTTTGCATGAAGCGTTTAACTGTCACCTACCTGACTTTGCCTGGAGACTCCGCTGTAGACAGCCAGAGGAAGGACAATGACCCGACATTTGTGAGGCTACGGAATCCAGCCACAGGTAGAACTTCCAGTCCCATCTGCACGGTCTGGCCACTCAACTGTACTCCCGCTCTCTATTGATATAATGGGAAACAAGTCCTACTTACTAAGAGTATGGTCGAAGTGTTATTACGGTAAAAAAAAAAAAAAAATTTAAAGGACTTTTTTTTTTTTGTCTTTGTCTTGTTTATGCAGATGCAGCTTCCCTCTACATGCTGAGCGGCGGCGGTGGCAACTTGCAACTATACGAGGTCAAAGCATTTGAAGAAGACTTCCGGTCCTGGTTTGTTGGGCAGACAGTGCAGAGAGGTCATTGTTTTGATCAAGTCTGATAGAAATCTATTCATGATTATGTATTCGTTGTCAATGTTCAGTGTCTTCAGCTGCTCCTGTTTTTACACAGATGGGAGGCTTCTATTTGTCACGCAGATGGATCCGCTTTTTCTCATGTTGCCTTACTTGATCAAATCTGGAAAAGAAGTAAGAGATCATTCACCTTAATCCAGTAAATCCCTGTTTGCCGTGGCACATTATTGTTGTGTGGGAAATAATCACATGTTCAGTTATATTTAATTTCATTGGTCTGGAAGTTCAACGCATGCCTGTGTAACATTTGTTGAAAGTACATTTGTTGAAGGTGCATAAACTTGCATATCCACTTTTCTGACATTTTTGTTTGGTGGCGTGCTTTGAAATTCTTTTCTCATGTAAAATGTGGGCTCAATCAATGTTTGGAACCACAGCCTTAATCACGCATACAAGCATCTACATCAGGGGTGCTTAACCTACGGCCGACTGGCTATATGGGTCTGCTTTGCAATTCTATAGACAAGTAAATTCTGAAAAAAACTCCCAAAATTATTATATCATCATAAGACATAATAAAACATGTTCAATCATTGCATCTTACTTTTTTTCCCCCGACTTTACCATGGCTCTGGCATGGCCCCCTGGTGTAGATTGACCACAACCATCTTTCACTTAAGCTGTAGTGTGACGCAAGGTGTTGTTTTTGTTGAAAGCAAAGGTTATGTCTTGATTTATTTAGTGTCTTGACTGTCCTTCACCTCACACATCTGTTTGTTGCCCTCTTACCAGCCTTGTGAATCACTTTACAGTCCAGAAAGACTATAAATAAACGCCTCCCTTAATGATGCCCTCTGGTGTGCATGTTAGGGCAAGTTCCAGCGGCTGGATCAAATGGTAATGGACGAAGAGTTTCCGGCGTGTAGCGGGTTGCTGAGCTGCACTCGTTCCTTGGCCTCCATGCATCACATTGCGGATGAAAAAGGTTAGCAGCTAATATGCTCAAGGTTGCCGATATAGAAAAACAGGGGCCTCACTTTTGTTTTCTTGCTAGAGGTGGGAAGCCATAAGTTTCACCGATACAGTCAAGAAAAAACAATGGCTTGGTTAAAGAAGAAGGTATATCCTCTATTCAGAAACAGTCCATCTTGTAATGAAAATTCCTGTTGAATTCATGTTTGTTTGTGTTTTTTTTCCCCCATGTTGCTGTAGGTGGAGAAAACTGTCCTTGTGCTGAAGAAGAAGAACATCTCTGTGGGGGAGGGAGTCAAATCCTCCTCATATATCCGAGTCAAGCTGGAGTCAGATTCAAGCAAGGGTATCATTCTTTCTCCTCTTAAAATGACATTAAATGGCGGGCCCTATCAAGACGAGCAATTTGGATTCAGCTCAGTTTTTTTTCAGGTTTTCCTCTCCGATTAGATTATTTCAGAGGTCCTTGTAGTACTCTTGCGGGTCCAATAGATGGTGGCAGCAGCATATCTTATCTGTCACAAAGTATTGACAACCGTTTCATTCAACCCTGTTGTAATGATTATGGTTTGGTTGCATCCCCACTTCAGAGGACTACCTTGGCTACGCCCATGGCCTCATATCGGAATACATCAACAAAGACCTGAGCAAGGACCTCCGCCATCACCTGCAGTATGTTTGCATGCACGTACACAAATTTTCAGTCTTGCCAAGTCTTTATGAATGTGCATTTCAATGAGGCCCGTTTTGTCGCCACGCAGGTTACCAGAGCTCACGAGTCCAAAGGAGACCGAACCAGCTTCAAAGGTGCAGTATCTTGCGTTTTCATGCAAATCAAACAGACTTGTCTTGTCGTGTTTGCTGTCACACCAAATTGAGATCATTGCGAGAGATTATTAATAATCAATAATTATTGATTTTATTTATTCATTCATTTTTACCAGTTACAATAAGAAAACAATGACATTGATTCAAGATGAAATAAAATAGACGTATCCAGAAGAAAGTACCGTTCAAAATATCTGGTCGGAAAAATATATATATATATTTTTTCAGGAATATAGACCATTTTTGTGTACAATGTAACGTAGTGTAATGTGCAACGTTGTTTCCATCCATACTCCTCTCGCAGTGCCATAAATGCGGAAGATTGTACCCCAAAGTCGGAACGTTGATACACAGTGACATAAACCTTCCTTCGTTGTTCATACAATTTAAGGGTGGCGAACTAATTCTTGATTGGAGTACACGTTTTGCAGTTGACCAATCGTCTGAGGACTACTTTATCTTCTTAGTGGGCTCATAATTGCCTTAGTACATTTCTTGTTTTACTTGCCTGGTTAATTTGTGACTTCAGCGCAATGCTGAGGCTCGGAGCTAGCTAACATCCGCACTACACTTCCCATCCAAAGGCGTTTAATTGTGTTAGCTTGCAATATCATCTTACATGTTTTGATATCATGTGATGGCAAGAGTTGAACTGAGGTGACATTTATTTGAACAAAGTTAAGCCAGTTTATTGGAAGAGGAAATTCATCTTGAGTGGATATCACAGCCATGGCCATACTTATCCATTCCAACAAATTCTCCTTAAATCTTACTTCCGTGTGTTTGATTCAGCTTTAATGTTGATTTTCTGGTTGTGTTCATAGACCCCATAGACACTGTCCACATTCTATAACACATTTGTTTTCCTGATCACCAGAAGCGGAAACTGTCGGACAAGCCGGTGGAGGCGTTAGACGACTATACCAAATTCAACAGTGGAGATTTTGCTCGCAAAGTGAGTGTCAGTGCTTGAGACCGCGATTCGGTCATGACAGTAGGACTGTGTTTGTCATCTTACATTCAAGCTCATTCAACCTCGAGAGATTGTGTTTGTGTCCTTCTCGTTTCTTTGAGCGGAAGGTCAGACAACACGTTCGACGTTTTCTTCGTCTCTTTGCAGCCGCCCAAGAAGATGACAGCCGCGCAGAAGAACCTGGCAAAGGTGGACAAGAGTGGCATGAAGACAATGTCGTCCTTCTTTAGCCTCAAAGTGAAAGCGGAAAAGAAATGATGGTTTGTCCCCTCTGTGCTTACTTTTGTACACGACATTTTTGTAATAAAGCAAAGAAAAACACTTTCGGGAGGTACTTTCACCTCTTCAGCTGAGGGTCAGAGTCAAATTTTTGCCATTCCCAGCCAACTTGCAAACCACTTTTACAGTATCATTTAAAAATACACTTTGGTACTAGCGTTCAATAGCAGAGCAAAAACAATGTCGATTTTGCACACTGTCCTAGTACAAATTGGCTGAGTAGTAATTCTCGACACATGGTCATTAATGTGTTCATTTGTGCAAATCCGAGCACTGTTGCTAACCCACGCAGCAGCTCCTACTGATTCTTCATCCCACGTTCCAAAAACAATCTAAGATCAATTGAAGGCTCCAAATTGTCCATCGCTGTGAATATAAATAAATGGTTGTCTGTCTACTTGCGCCCCGCGACTGGTTGGCGACAAGTGCGAGGTTTCCAAAGTGCGCTCAACCGTCACCCTAATGAGGACAAGGACTTTAGATGATGGATAATTTTCTCACTGCTAACAGTTGTCACCAAGGATGCTGTGTCATGTTATGTGCAGTATTCAAGGCTATGTTAGTTGGTTGTCTGTTTAAAAGAATGATGAAGTCCCCATTTATTGTCGCCGCGGTTTAAGTTTTTGGGCCAATGACAAACCCGTCGCTTTTATGCTGCCCTTCATGATGGTGGTCTGTACTGATTGAGGGCACTTGTGTATTTTATTTTTTTATGCCTCACTCACATATCTTTTCTCTTCTCTTTTCAGCGCACTTAATAGAGAATATAACCCTGAATATATGAATTGGACAGGTTCACTAGTTTGGATGCAAGTTACAAGGATGATTTTATATATATATACCGTACATATATATATATATATTAAGAGACTAAATAATAACCTGAGCTGCTTGCCAAGTGTAAAGGCCTTGAACTCTTGGTGAAGCAGCCTTGAAAACATTCGGCTTCGAGACAGTCTTGTTGCTGGAGGAGCTATTGTTGCGGTTGCCTTTGATGCCTTTCAAAAATGCACTCAGTCTAAATCCCTTCATAACTTATTTTATTTTTTCCACTTCAGAAAAAAAAAAGTTTTTAACAAGGGGCTCAGAGTTGCTGGATGGGAAAAAAAAATCAATTCTCAGATCATAGATGTGTTCGCTTGCTTTGACGCTTCATTCGGTACAATATTCTGACATCCAATAACAAAAACACCGTCAGAGTGGTTTTCATCACCTCTGCCATGCACAAGGCAGCAGGTTTGGTTGTCAGGATATGTGTAGATTCAAAACTGAACAAACACTATTTATAGTTAAAAAAAAAAAAGAGACTGGTGGAACCAGAGATTTACCATAATAAGGTAAATCAATTTTCAACATCTTTTAAAGTAGAGGTTTTGAAATATTTCCTGTACATTACCATTATAAATTCAATGTATTCCTAAAAGAAAAACTTGTAAACGTCATCACTCGATTCTGCAAAAAGTACCGGTACTTTAAATGGCTCATATATAGTAAATTAAATGTAAATGCCAAGCTGTGGTGCTTTGTAATAAACAACATGAAACATATTTTACCCAATTTTTTTGGACTACAAGTCACACTTATTTCATAATTTATCTGTAGCTGCGATTTCTATTATATTAATATTTTATGAGTGAGTATATTAATATTAAAGCTTGGACACCCAAAATTCCCTTTTCCTGATCGTGTTGACTTTCTATACATGACTACCACCTTGTGTCCACCAGCGGTAATGCACCAAAAGTATTCGCCCACTGCCACATTGCGACACGGCATTCGAGTAAAGGTAAGACATTTTCAACAACAAAGAAAAACTTTTCCATCGGCAAAAACTGAGGTTTAGTTTCTTATTTGCGACCGTCAACACAGGCGTATTCGGAAATTCACTTATTAATTTCAGAATGCAGACAAACTAATAAGCAGCTCATGCTTCAACATCTACTGGCTGATGCACTGGCACGACAAACGTATTCACTATTAGGGAACGGGGATTTTGGGGACAAGTCCGAGCTCCACCCTTGATCTCATTTTTTGTCAAATACTTCCCCCAAAATGCAAATTCTACTCTGGCTCGAGATGTTTTTTTTTTCATGATTCCTTTTTTTGACTGGTGCGACTGGTCCGAAAAATACGGTACATTTTTTTTTTTTACCAAATGGCCCCTGAAATACATTATTGTCACAGAGTCAAATCGAATTTTGAGTGTCCGCCTTGTCTTAGAATATTAAAAATGGTTACAACTTGCATTGGCGCTACATGAACTAATAACCCACTGCATCCAGCAGAGGGAGCTGTGAAGTTGCTACTGTGACACCGTCTGTTTTTTTTTATGCTCAATACGGCCACCAACAATCAAACAAGTCAGACGTTAATATTTGGTCCGAGTTCCATTCTACTAGTAACAGTTTTCCGCGATGGCGCCGGCACTTGAGTTCATTTAAAAAGAAAACGTTCTCTTACCATTCAAATGAGTGTCAATCCTAATTGTCTTGAGCAATTTCAGGACTTTTTGGACTTGAAGCGAAGTGTCTGCAGGGCGCTCTCCACCACTTTGGGCAAATGGATGGGGTTCCTCTGCAGGCGCAACCTACTGCTGGTTGACCCGCTCTTGTTTTTCTGGAGTTTTTTTTTGTTGGCATGGACATGAACCTCCTCCTGCTGACTGTTGGTGTCACCTACCACCCGAGGAACCCTCAAGACCCAGTTGGAGTGGAGGTCATGTTCTGCTGAGCTAGATGCCACTGTGTGGGGAGACAGAGTAAAATTTACCGTCAACAACAATCATTTTAGCATAACGCACTGTTTGTTTTCTTTTGTATTTAAAAAGAAAATTCATAAATGATGTCCATTGCTCCATATTGACTTACCTCTTTATGACTTTATAGGTCAAGGAACCATATTTTGCAACCTAAAGCTGAGTCAAAATAGAGGCCTCACATGAAGTCAAGAGACCCATGTAATTTATCCCAAGACAATCAAAAGAAATTGAAAAATTCACTGGAAGAAAAAAATATTAAAACTGGTATGTCTTTTGGGTCGTATTTTTTTTTTAAATGAGCGAGACTCAAAGAACTGAGACTTCTATGTACACAAAAGGGCCAAGTATTGTTAACACAGCTAACTAAATATATTTTAAGACACATGAGAATTGTTTGACCAGATGCAAAAATTGAATTATTATCTCATTTACTTAAAAAATAGCTTTGCAGTTTGCGTCCAATCAGACTTTGTAAAAATGAATGCATTATTTTTAATCTAAAGTTTTAATTCACTCGTTGTTGCTCTGGTTCTCTCTCCTTATTTGGGCTGGGCGCTGGCAGGAAATTTTATATTTATTTTTACACGGTTGACATCACCACCAAGCCTGCTGTTTTGATTACACTGATAAAGACGTAATTTCTCCCACGCCGACGGCAGAGCACTGGAAATGTCAAGGTCACATTTGATTAAACACCCACAGTGAGACGATACGGCGCACTGAACAGCCACTTTAGATGAAAACCTTGCACTACAGGACGCGCATAATTCAATTTGCACCATCAACCCTTGATTAAAATGGCATAATTTACAACACTCTCCATCCCAAGACAAAGTAATATCACTCAACCTTTTGCTCACATATTTCATGGCACCTGTAATTCAACATTATGTACCCTGAAAACAAAAAAAAAAACACCTGTTCACTTTCTCACAAGATATGACAGCCTCTGGTCACAACATTAGGTACGCCGCATCGAAGATAAAAGCCGAACACATTTCTTGATATGATGCGGTGCATGCAGTTCCACACCACTCGTGACAATAATATACAAATCGTAGTGAGAGTAATAGTGAAACTTAAGACTGCCCATGTGTTTTTGACGGCATTATTGGATGTAAAGTGGCCCATGATCTTTTTATACTTTTCACTGCACTGAAGGTAATATAAGTGCAGTTTTTTGAGATCGTCATTACCGCATGGTCTCTACTCATCAATTGAAAACTTGTCACCTTTTGCAGATTAACAAATCTAGAAATCCAGGTATAAATCTGTAAATGAAATAAATTGTCACTCCTCTCAATATTAATCTGCACTAAAATCACATGACGGTGATCACTGAAGGAATACGTCACCTATAAAGTCCACGTCGTCATGGCCGTCATCCAAGTAAGGTTTACGCTGAGGTTCACTGTCACAGCTCGCAATCACCTCATCTAGAAATTGCAGCGTGTCTTCCACGGTGGGCACGGGCGGTGCCGAGGGAGTGGCTCGAGAGACCTATAAACAGGCACAAAACACAGTTATGTTGCTTATTTGGAATATTGGGGCTTCACTTTTTGAGGTTCGGAGTTGGAAACATGGCCGCCGGTGACTTCAGTTCTTGCGACGGTGAGCATTACGTGCCCAGGTTATTTTTAGATAACCGCGTTTCCTGCATTGTTTTCAATTACATTTGATTTAGGGGTGACACGGCTGTTTTTGTTCTGGATCCAAAAAAAGTGGAAGCTTACTGTGTTTTTTGGCCGTGCCGGAAGCGGCTCGTTCTTCTCGGAGGACACCGCGGCTTTGACGTCGGCATTGTTCAAGTCGCTCACACTCTTTGTGTAGCGCCGCCGCAGAGCCACCAGCGCTCGCAGATACTCCAGACAGTTCTGCTCGTGGGAGTGAAGCCACACGCGGTCCTCTTGCCTGTGGTAGTAGTACAAAGTGGATTCCACACTCAGGGTGCTCTTGCTTCGTTTCAACGTGGCGCCTTCACAAGACCGCGTCCTCTCTCCCACAACCAGCACGGAGGTGCTGCGGACCAGCTTGACTGTGCAGGCGCTGTGGTACTCCGGCCCGAACTCATCTCGCTCTCTTTCCCAGTGATGATTGGAACGGAACGCATGGGCGATCTTCCTAAACATCCCTCTAAACAATCAAACGCTCGCCTCTGAGGTCCATATTCCTCTCTCACGAGCGAACTGAAGCAACCGCCTGACTCACATAGAAGCGAGGCCGTCCATGAGGTCGGATGGTCGCTGGTTCAACCTGATCTCACCGGCAATGTTATCAGTCGCTGCTTGGCAACATGGAGGCCTCTGTAAGACAACACTACTGAGCGGCAAAGCCCGGTTCAGGTGTCCTGACCCAGTAACTGTCACTCTCGCTGAGGCTTATCTAAGCTACTGCCCTGAAAAATCATTCAGCAAGATATTTTGATCAACATTTTGTGGGGGGAAAAATATCTGCATTTTACCACATCATGCCAAGGATTGATCCACCCGATTCAAACGATCGTTATCAAGCTCAATGCAGAAGCCTGATAACGATCCTGATCAGTTGAATCAGGTGTGCCGAAGGAAGGAGACATCGAAAACGTGGATAGGGGCACTCGAAGACTACCGTTGGTGACCCCGGATCAAAAGGATTCATTTCACATTTGTTTTTAGCGTGAGCATGTCAACCATAAATTGAAACCAAATACACCGAAAGACGTACAATTTGGAGTTCAGACAGAATGCTCTGTTAAAATGATCAAATCAAACTCAACTTTTGAGTTCACACTTCACCCGGGTGAGCGTCAAAGATTAGAATTTTACTTTCTAAGATTCTTCAATGCAGTCAGGGGGCTGTCAAATTTGGAGAAAAAAAAATTGTCCTGAATAAATGGAAGCAAAGGCAAAACTCATTTAGGTTTTCATGTTGACATGATGCAAATTTCATCCGCTCAGACACGACAAGGTTTCTCGGGGAGGAAATGTCCTCTTGTGGTTCCAGAACGAAAGTTGCACTTCTGCTTGACTAAACTTGACACGAACAGTGGCGCAAATGCATCTGATTACAATCTGTAAAACTGCATTGAGTAGTTCTCAGCTGTAATTTCGAACTAATGAGACTTTGGGTTTTTTTTTGGTGGCACTTTAGAGTACAAAATTAGACCAGTGAATCAACAGTCATATAAGGAAGGTTCTTATCCGTTCGATGATTGAATATAATACGATCAACGCTTTTAGGAGTGCAACCAACTGCCAATCAGTGGATGAGATAATGGGATTAAAATATCTGAATACATTCAATGGAATTTTCACAATCATTAAAATTGCTTCTAAATGTGGACGCAGTTTGAAATGAAACAGCTAAATTGGGATCGATGTATTTTTGCCATTATAAAAAGGAGTGACCTTTTCTTTTTCTTTTTTTATTATATCAGTTGAAAAAAATAACCCACAATGAAAAATATAGTTGCTGTATGAATTCATAACATGTAATTATATAATAATCCACAATGTAAAATAATAAGTTATCTGAAATTAATAATGCCAAGAATGCTGTCACTTTCTGAAAATAGAGTTTGATATTAGTTTGTATTATTTGATACTGTTATATAAATAATACATAAATGTTATTTCTTTTGGCTTTTAGTCTACCTGAGGGAATTTTGGACATTTAAAAAACATTTTTATTTTAATGACGATGGATGGGTGTGCACAACAAATAGGGGCAAGCCTATTCACGTGAATATATGCAAACACGATAATGAATCGTATTTTCACTCTCCCATATAGAGCTTCTAACTTAAAATTAAAAATATATACACCGGTATATTTTTTAAAAATCCGTGTTTCAAAATTTGTCCGGACCTCAATGATTTGTTTTTGTTTTTTTCATGAGCAGACATCTGCGGAAACAATCAGATTTTTTTTCCTCGCTGTCATGAAACTCAGTTGTTCGTTGGTATGTTGAAACGCAGCCGTGTGCACTGACAAGGGGATGAGATGAGTCATCGGAAATGAACACAATTTGCAATTCAAGATGCTGCAAGGATTATTCCAAACTTTTCATTGTATCCAAGTTCCTTGTTATAAGCCGCGGTTCATCCCACTTCTCTCCTTGAAAGTCCCCAGAAATTTCACTGAACCTTTTTGGGGTAGCGGTAATAAATGCCACCAGCTGCAGCAGTGATTAAGAAAGGGGAAGAGTGATTACTAAAAAAAAAAAAAAAAGCAGTCTTGCTTCCTCTCAAGGTGGGTGCATGGAACCAAGCAGACTATTATACTCGTCATTTGATTCACAGAGAGTGCCTTAAGGTAAAAACAAGTTGTACTTCTCCGCTGGCTTTTTTTTTTTTGTCGTCATAGACAGTGACTGATCATTTTTTAAAAAATTCTATCATTCAGTAAATTGCCACCCAGTGAGACATTGCAGAGATGCTTTGTGAAGTGAAATTGCTGAGCATGGCCTACGGAGAAGCAGATGAAGCGTGCCCCCCGCGCTGCGAGACGCGGGAGGGTACTGTCGGATCCTCTTCCCGCTCTACGGGCGCCGTTGCGCACCTTCATACTCTCTCAGAGCAGGAGGGCGGCGTTGTCGGCGGGAGTCCTCCAGAAGTCTCCCAGCTGGAGTCTTTGGATCTGTACAGAAACCAGTCGGGCAGAAAGAACTCTCCCGGATTCCAGATCGCATCTCCCCGCTCGGGAGGCGACGCCACCTTCCTGGTTCCGTCCTTCTGTCAGAGCATCTGCCAGAACTACAGCGACCTCCACATCGGGGGCGACCAGGTTCTGCCGATGTCGACGGACGATGCGGAGGAGGTGCATGTCGACGCTCAGGCGGTGGGTCCCTTCTTGCAGTCCTGTGATGTGCCCCCGCCTGGGGAAGATTCCCCTCCAAGACGAGCTGCGCAGATTGGGCTCCTGCTACCTCCCAGGGGGGGCTCCAATCACTGGAGACAGGGAAGTGGTCGAGATCGCAGCTTTTTATTCCAAGGGCGCGAGGGTCCCCTCACTAACTCCCTCCTTAACGGCTATCTGGAACAGAAACTTCTGGACCTGTACCAGCAGTACATGATGGAGAACATGGCCAGGAATTCGGGCCCCCTGCTGGGTTCAGAGATGTTCCTGACCAGCCTGGACCAGATCACCTTGCAGCTGAGCCGGGATGGGAATCTAGAAGCGGGCGTGGCCAAGGACATGGTGATGTCGTGCCTGCTGAGGGTGGCTGGGGAAGTGGAGTCCAGCGAGATGAGCACACCTTTCCTGCAGATCTCCAGTGAGGCTTCCAAAGAGCTCGTCAACCAGTCCAAAGAGCAATGACGCTATCTTTGAATCAAGCAAGAATAACCCACCAGTTTTTAATCCATATCCTGCCATTTTGCTCGCCTTGCCAATGTCACGTGACCAAACTTAATAAAAACCGGTGCGCCGTGACGTACGCAAGCTGTGCCCGCGTCTCAAAGCTTGTTTGATATCAACAGGAATAAAACAAACCATTTTTTATTTACAAAAATCCAGTGTTGTGGTTTTCATCTGGTGCGACGAAAATTTTCCGAGCATGAGCAACTACGGTATCCTCAAAAGGTCATTAAGGTGTGCTTTGCCAAAGCGCTGCGCTTTATGGAGCGTGAACATGAATTCGTGAATGTGTGTGATGTCACCATGAAAGCTGCCTTAATAAATGTTTGATAGCGACATGTTTCACAGAGGCTGCGATACAAGTCGCGCTGCTTCGCGAACAAGACGGGGATTACTTTTGTGTGAGGTGAGTGTGTGATTTGCAGACCGGCTGAGCGCAGACTAACCATGTTATTTTTCTACCTTTCCTCCCATTTAAAAGGAAGTCTGCGCGTCGCTGCAGTTCAGCGCACTGCTGACCTTCCTCCGCTGTTCCTGTCCAAACAAAACGCCAGCAGGAGGAAGCGCCCTGTTTACAGAGCTGAATGCCGGCCGCGGGTGGAAACCTGGGAAGTGTCAAGGCTACAGAGAAACTATTCCTGCCTTTCTTCCCCAAACATTCCAGGTACGCACGGAAGTAGCCTGTCCTGTCCAAGGAAACAACAATTTCATTCCAGCAGCAATTTCATGTCAACTTTAAAAACAGCCACTGCTGAAATAAAGTACTGTACATGGGCTGAGTGGCGGCCGAAGGTGGAGACCTTGGTGGTCCGATCCCCGGCTACAGAAGCTACTCCTCCAGGCACGTGGATTATCACCTCTCTGGCCGGGAAAGAGCCCAAGTTTGTGTGCGAGGTTGAAAAGTTCTTACCAGACATCGGCTGTGTCCACATTCGCAGGCCGCGTCCTCCGAAGGCCGCGTTTTTGGCCGCGTTGTTTTCCGCTTTCGCCTCGACTCGACCGCATGTGGTTTTCAAATTCTAGAAAGACAAATTGCACGCCGGGTCCTTCGACGCTGTCATAGGCTCCTCCTCATGTGGCCTCCGTGGAGCGCATAAACTATGGTGAATTTGGACAAGCTGAATGTGAATTTGAACCCCACGTGCGGTCAAGTCATGCCACCTACGGAGGACTCAGCCTGTGTATTTGGACGCAGCCAGAGTCGGGCTTGCCATGTCACACGGCTTGGACTCTGGTACCAGTCCTCTTGAGAGGGGTTGGACTCTTACTCTGCAGTTGCCCCCACTGAGCGGCACTGAGGAGGTGAGGGCATATTTGTTGCCCTTTCAGGTTCGGTGCTGTGCATTGAGGTTCACTCTGGCGAACGAGAGGGTATTAGGTCAAAAACAGCCTCAAGCGGGTCAAAAAGGCATTTGACCCCAAAAAAATTGATCAAATAAATAACCGACGAAACGACCGCCCAAAATTTGATTTTGCAGAACACCCCCGTTTGATTATTTTGAATTCATTTAAATATTATCATATTAATTTGACCCACCCTTTTTGACACAATGGTTAGAGAGTGTGGAGGGAAACGGGAGAACATGCAAACAAACTCCTTCAGAAGGTTGAAGCGAAGTGAATCTGAAGACGGAACCTTAGAGGCCATACTCTAAAACCAGTTTGGTCAAAAATTGGGTCAATGAATAACCCACAAAACAGCTCAAAAAATGTGGTTGCTTTGTACAAAAAAAAAATTAATAAAATAAATTGGGTCGTTTTGACAAAACAACTCCAAAATGATTCATTTGACCCAACTTTTGGGGTTAAGTAAATAACTAAAAGTGGGGTCATTACGTTTAAGATCCGATTTGGGCGGATCTAAAAAAAAAAAAAAAATAAAAATAAAAAAAATCTGATTTTTGACCCAACTGTTTTTAGAATGTAGCCTGAATGTGCCTTCGGGTTGAGGGGTCAGGTCCTGTCTGTGCCTTTGTGCACTAAACAGCAGCTCAGAGTACCAAGCATTCTGTCTGTCTGTCTGTCTGCACATGATTAATAAAAAAAAAATGAATGATATGAAATGAAAAATAAAGGTTTGTCTAATGTGATGGAATAACAGAGGAGGTTGAAGCCTTTCAAGGTGTCTACAAAGCACTTTTCCTGCTCACAAAGAGCTTTTAACATGTGGGCTGGCCCAGACAAGGTCGTGCGATTTCATATCAAACCCAAGGTCCACGCCACTCTCGCCATTGTGGCTTTAACGCTGCAGCCGCATTGCCTTTATTCAAAAAAAAAAAAAAAAGCTTTTAGTGCGTTGCTTCGTAAAAAGCAGCACAATCATATACTGTTGTGCTTATATATTTCGTATTTTTCCGCTTCCCCTTGCCACTTGATGATATTTCAAAAACAATTTCAAGGACTTAAATAAGAGTCTAAAACTCTTTACAGGATTAGTCAGGCACACAATATTAGTGAAAATTGGAGTACTTTCCTTTGGTTTGTGACTGCAACCTTGAGGCACGTGTGTGAATCCAGATTACACCTCACATGTGCAACTTGCTGGAACGTTTAATGAGCGCTCCGTTGCCATGGAGGGAACATTTCCTGGTCAGTTAGCCCCTCGAGGTTGCCTGGGAGCCCAATGACCTTGGCTGCGCACCCCCCCCCCCCCCCCCAAATAAAAAAAAAAAAAAAACACCACCCCAAGCAGACTGCGAGGTCCGCAAGAATCATGTGGTAATACAGATATTGCGCCATATGGCGTCGACTTGCTGAGCAAATGCTCTCATTTTGGTAATGGCTATATGGCAGCCCTATATAGCTTGTGTTACGCACCTGCTTTTAGTCTGCCTGATAACTAAATTCATATTATGCTTCAGTATGAAAGAGCTAACTAGGGACAAAATCACTTGCAAAACATTAAGAGCTGTCTCTTTCATGTTGCTACTTAATGGCCCCTGCAAACTGCAAGGTTAGCCTACTTGGTTCCACATGGCTTCCAAGTTGCTCAAATGTTCCAGATTCAGAATCTTTAACTGACTGGCTACCATCAGACACAAGAAATTTGTCGCACCGCATCTCGGAAAAGCAGAAACTATGAGGCACTATTTCTGGTCAGATTTGAAAAAGAAAAAAAAAATCAGGTACAAGTCACATAAAAAATCTGAATTGAAGTGTGGTGTGAACATAGACTAAGTCAGTATACATTGAACAAAGCCAACTTCATTTCATTCCGTTTTCATATATTTCAAGCCGAGTTTAGTCAGCGGGGGTTCAAATGCATGTTAATATTAAATTTTGAATTCATATTTATCTGGCAACGTTAGTCAAAACTGCCTATTTTTACATTTTATTGATATACTGCTACAACACGTGTCTTGGCTATCATCAGACTGTACCTAAGGTGAATGTAAAAATATGATTTGGAAACTCTTAAGTGGGCCATGGTCACACACGTACGCAGAGAACTCTACCAGGTGAGGCTCGTGTTTGAAATGCTTTATAGCATAAACCTGTACAAAGCTAACTCATAAATACGTCCCAAACCGTGGGCGTAATCTTATCCTTCTCCTTCGTTCGTAGTGTATGTAAAAGGTCAATCAATAAGTTCAAGCATCGGCCTTGGTGAATATGGACAAGTGTGGACGATGACGTCATTGTGGAAGGGGAAATATAAATGTAAATATGAAACTGTGGAGGACGAAGGACGTGACCTTACCTTTCATCCACATGAGCGAATTCTGGTGGACACAAAGAAACATAGCGCGGTTGCGCGGATGGAACTCGGCAGGGTAGAACATGAAGGGCAGGTGAGAAGATGGTTGGAGGCGAAAATTCTGGTGATAATTCCTTTCAGCACAAGACTGACTGGTGTGAGGCAACACGGTGCCACGGGGCAGCTGAGTGGATGGAATACACAAAGAAAAATAAAGATTAATTGTACAGTAGAAAAAGAAATAAAGTTAGCTAAATGCTAGCTGCTAGCTAAAGGTGTCACAACATTGCTTTGACAAATTTTTCTCCTTGCCGTTTTTTGTGTGTTGAATGACTTGGGAGCCATTTTACACCAACACTCAACACAACTATTTCCTTTACAAAGTGTTCGGCAACAGTGCGGAATAAAGACTGCTTCTGCATTGGCTATTGTTGCGTTTCGCGTCACACTCAACGGTGTGTATATGAACACAAAAGCATATTATTCAGCTTTCAGGTGCTTTTCACAGCGAAACTAATTGATCGCGATGAATCAAGCCACCCATACATGTTGATTTGGCGAGTATGCCTCCAAGCAGTTTTGAAGCAATGCCGTCATCAAATTACCGTGCTCAGTGGCTAGCTCATCGGCAAATGAATAACAACGTGACAAGTCAAGATGACTCACGGAGATATGAAGGACAACCGAAAAAAAAAAATACTTACAGACATAAAGATAACTTTTGACGCAAAGATTGATCCTCCTCTGTGATTTTATTGGGAAAATAAACTTGTCACACCCCTTTTATTCCCTTTATTTCCATTGTAAACATATGAATCTTTTGCCTCACCTTGGTCTGTCAACACCAAACACCGCCCTCTTCATGTTGCTGACCCCCCCCCTTTTTCTTTCTTTTTTTTTTTGCAGCGCTTGGCAGCCGCCACTGTTATTAGTGTCGTAATTTAGCTGCCTATGCAAACATGACCCCGTCCTCCAAAAATTCAAACGGTAGTCACAGCGAGGCCAGTAAAGAGGAAGATAAGAGGGACATAAATTATCACCGTGCTCCCCTCCTCCTCCTCCTCCATGTTTTTGTGAGTGTGTGATGGTTATCGTAGACGGGCACTGTTATATGACATCGTGACATATATTTGAATGCAATGAATTTGAGCAGCAAGGACGGAGACAGAAAGGACCAACAAGTAAATGGAAATATGCAGACAATTTACTCTACACGAAGAGGAAGCTGCGCGGAGCAATCTGCATTTTAATCACTGCCATGTCGAAAACACATTTTTATGACCCTGCCCCCTGAATAAGGAAGTCTTTTGTGATTTAGTGTGGCGTCACATGTGGTCAGCGAAAGATGCAGGGAAAAATAAGAGAGGGTAGTTGAAATGGTTAGCGGACTGCCGAGTGCGTAGCCCATCAAAGTGGCACTGTGGGGCTTATTGCGCTATGGATTCAACTCATGAGTTTGACCTTGGCGCGTGCGCACACACACACGCACACACACATTTACCCTGGGGTTCCACTCAACCTTGACTAATTAGCTGGCGTCCCCGTGGCATATGTTCGCCACAGAGTTGATCAAGGACGTTACATCTGCAGTGTCCCCCTCCTCTCCCCTATGTTAGCCCCCCCCCCCACACACTTTTCTGTGGCCTGCTCTGTTGTGGCAAGTCTATGACAGATGTTCGGGCAAAACCTCATAAGTCACAATTTGGTAAATTTATTCTTTTTTTCACTAATCTATAATGTTGGTCAGTCCAGATGTGTTGGGTGTCATTTTGTTTTCTTTTTACAAATTAGTGAGCAGTCGAACGTGTTGAAAAATGTCTTGCTCTCTTTCTTCAATACACTTGGATGATAGCGGTTCACCTCGATGACCTCAATGCTCGCTGCAATGTCCTACTTTGTGTTATTTTTCTTTGCCATTTTCCTTTCAAGTCTGCTTCGACTTGATACTGGAAGTATGATGTCGTGATTCACATCGATAACTGAAATGCCGACTGCAGTGACTCTTGTTCCTGTTAACACAGCCTTGCAGAGGCCTGGTCTTCACTCACCAGTGTGTTTGCATAGCCTGAAGTACTATAGTGATTCATATAAGTGACTTTAATGCACACGACAGATGCAAATAAAGAATTTTTCGATGGTTGCACACTGTATTTAGCATCCCGCACGGGTTAGCGCTGCGTTGATGTGGCCCATCCTGCGCTTGCTAGGCTGTCACAAAACTGACTTAAATTCTCGGTGCAGTGTCTCGCCTCGCTCCCTCACGTTAGTGCTACCTCTTGCTGCGGCCTGGTCGGTGCTTGCAAGTCTATAATCCTGCATTGTATCATAAGTATGGTGTAGTGGGTCACATTACATTTTTGTCATGTTGGAACTGCAGTGCTGTTAGCTTCTCAATGCAGTCTGTTTCTATATTATACCCGGAGTATGATGTAGCACTTCACACAGTGGTGTACAGAAATCAATATTGTTGTATTTATTTATTTATTTTTGCATAGTTGCGTGTTTTCTAGTTGACTACATTTGAGGGGGCACATCAACGAGGACGAGCGCTACATCTGCGGCTTTGTTTGCTGCGAGCCCGCCGCGCAACCTTGTGCAGTGCAAAGCAACCTTGAACACCGCGCTGTTACCAAACAAGGCAAACAGACATCTGGTGAGCGGTCCGCAAATGCAAGTAAACAACATGCTCAATATGTTTATTACATACAGTAATATTTTATACACATCTACATATATATATATCTATCTATCTCTCATATATATGTATATATAATGTACTTCCCCGATGATGCCAGCAGTTTATATATTATTTGTTTACTATTGCCATCGACTCTTGTTTGATGGATTGGATGCTTGAAGTTTGAAGAGGCAAGGGATTTTGGGCAATTTATTATTAATATTTATTCATGTTATCAGGTGACAGGTTGTCATTATTGGTGCATGAAAGGGTTAATTGTTGCGGTCAGGCCATTACATCCTTTCCACTCACAAATTCTGGAGGTAGTCTGCAATAAATCCTGATCCGCGTTTTCACAAATGCGTGTGTATTAGAGATGCCGCTTCATTGGGATACCAGAGCCGTACATCCGGAGAATGTCGTGCATTGATGGTTCACTGCCCGTATTCTTCTGGAGGTCAATTGAATCAAGACTCCCACTTTGTTGAAGGAGCCAAACTAAACTGGTGCGCCTCTCCATACACGGCGAGTCTGCCACCCGTCACAACAGCCGCTTGTCCAAGGAATTTAGTTGAATATATTTTTGGAGGACACAACTCGTCATACAGTTCAAACGAACTGTCGACGGTTCTTGTGAAGCAAAAAGGAAAATAACAGTTGTTTGCGTATTTTTGTTGAGATCGGCTCCTCTTCCATTATCAGCATGTTTTGCGAGATCACAAACTTTTTGATGTAATAAGGAAGCAATATCTGGTGTGTCACCTGGACACGTTGCTGAGAATGACACGAGAAGGCTTTCGTTTTTCTTTGGGTTGAAAGAGTTTCCGTTAGCTTGAGCAACAGTTTGTCGATACTCGTCTTCTTGTAGTGGAGAGGAACCCGGGAAAAGCGCTATGTAACGACGTGTGCCATCTAGTGGTGAGCGGTGTTATTACAACTTAAAAAGGATCAAGTGTGGGTTTTTTTTTTTTTTTGGTCAGAGGGCCAAATAAAGCGACAGGAAAATAGATTATGTGTACAAATACAGTACCTAATTATTTCAAAGACATTGACAATGTGTTCTTTGAAATAGATTTTTTTTTCCTAAGTTGATGACATAGTCCACTTAATAGAGTTCTTTTGTGGGAGTGAATGAAATGTCCCCTAAGAACATGTCATCATTACAACCATTTTAATTTTCCTGCTTGACATGGTTTTGCCATCTGTTCACCCCCCCCCCCCCCAGCTCCTCCCAAAGTTTTTTCAGTTAACCCCCCCCACCCCCACAAAAAAATGGAAAACTATGAAAAAAAGGTAATTAAAAAGTTCAAAAAAAGTTGCTGTTTATTCAGCTGGTCTTCTCTAATGCACAAACACATTTTCACAGTGCTCTAAGTCGTTGACACGAGTCCTTGGAGAGTGCAGTATTCAATTTGTAACTATTATAGAGACAAGGACACGCTCCTTTATGTCGGCCGCGGCGATGAGAGAAAATGGAGGCAGTCGCCATGGTAACCGCCAGAAGAGTGCCCAACAAATCAACAAACAATGCTCGGCAAGACTTTTGCAGGGGGAGTCATTTAGTGCAAAGCCTTGAATCATACAAAGTTGTGCTCTCATGCTGCCTTTCGAGTGCCTGTGGGTGTCAAAGCTGAAGGAAACAAAAAAAAAAATAAAACCTTGTGCTCTTCTCCAAGGCCGAGCTGCCGGGAACGTGCCAGGGAGCCGTCGTCTTTTGGTCACGCTGACCTCTCGATTTCACTGGTGAGGTCACACCTTCCAGAAATGCTGAGCCCTGCACAAGCAAG